ATAACAAAAACATACTGGTTTCTCGATTCGGTTTAATTTGGTTTGGTTTGGATCGGTTTTGATTTGATTGGTTCGGGTTATAAAAATTTTAAACCGAATAATTTGATAATAGATTTTAGTTTGATTTGAATCGGTTTCGATTTGGTTGGTTTGATTTGACTTTTTCAGTTCGATTTTTTTTCCCACCCTTACATAAAACAATGGAAAATGGATGGAAAACTATTATCCTCACGCATATCACTAAGCAACCGTTAGATCATGTTATAGCATACCAAACAAGATATATCATAGAGTTAAAATTAGATTGCGTTTAGAAATCGAAGGTACAAATTCTGATCAGGATAAAAACAAACAAAACAAATAAATTATAACTCCAGTAGAATTTCTAAGAAAATGTTGTTTACGTAGTCTACCCACTGAAGATCGAAGTAGAATACTTTAACTTTGTTTTTTCTTTCAACAAGTTAGACAAACATAATGACTATTATTAATATTAGATCATTCTCCGAATAATAGATCATTTCTCCGTGCTATGCACGGATAATATATTTAAATTTATTACATTTCTCATTTTTATTTATATGTAAATTTTTGTATATTAAATTATATTTAACTAATTTTTAAATCTGATTTTTATATATTTTTATATTAAAGTAAGTATTTGAATATAATTCATTAGTGGTAATAGATTATTTAGTTATATAATTATCTTCAATATACCATGAAATTTATACTATTGTCAAATATGTTTGTATTATATGTAACAAAATTAATTAATAAATATGAAGAATCAAGTTCGAGACTATAAAGTTATGTAAAATAAATATAATTATGTATAAAACATAAATTATCTTAGTTTAAAAGATCGAATCTCATCTCGAATAAATTCCCTAAAAGAAAAAAATACTCCAATAACCTACTGCAAATATAAATCCCCTTTAAAAAAAAACTTACTTAATAATATTTTTTTATGTGTAATAGTTGAAAACTGACAATTGAATATATCGATCTAGAATATTATTTTAATATACCAAATGGTAAAATATTAATTGTAATAAATTTTTTTTGAATTTTGTAATACATGAATTAGAAGTCTTTAAAATCTAAAATCTATTTTATTAACATAATATATTATTTATTTATTATTTTGACGTTACAAAATATTGCTTTAGTTTTATTTGTATATTAATTTTTAATAATTTAGAATCTTTTAAGTATTTTGAATTATCAAAAATATAATATATTTAAAATTATTTATTTAAATATATCCAAATATGATGATGTAAGAGAGTGTTATTTATTTAAATATATCCAAATATGATAATCAAAGTATTTTCAGACAAATGTTTTAATAAATATTTCACATTTGGGTAACAAAGGATGATGATGTAAGAGTGTTATGAACCTATCCATGAGATCAAACCAATTGTGGCCACAACAAAGAATGATTGGCTGGTGCAGTTTAACCTGTGGTGGAGAATCCACGGGTTATTCATAAACTCATGTACTCAAGAGAGGTGTGAAAGGATTCTTACATGTATAAGCACAGAATGTTCCCATATCCATAAAAGAGAGTTGCCCATATTGAACCGATGAACCTGTATTACAGTTTAATGAACAATGTGTGAAAGAACTATAGTTTAAGCTTAAAGGCTTTTAGTTGAGAAAGCTTAGCTTTTATCACATCAAATCGTGGATAAATAGTGCCCCTGGGATGATAAGACCGTTTCCCATCATCGCAAGTACAATTGTGATTGGCGATAAGCCCTTTATGTTGTCAGGGTTTAGGAAGTTTGTCCACTAAAGATTGAGTTAGAATATCAAATATAGTATTTAGGACAAAAAATTAAAAGAAAGCGAGAATGAAACAAAGCGAGACTCTTACCATTTGGGAAACTGGCATCCACATGAACATAAGTGTCGCTGTCCATCCAGATAAAGATCAACAAACCTAAACTTATCGTCCAGCTTCAATTAAAACTTAAACAAAGGCTAAGCAGACATAAAGACAGAGCATTTATCCAAAGATAGGTACTTTCAGTACAATCATGCATTACATCAGAAAAAAAAACAATTTCCAAAGTCTCAAACTTTATTCAAACAGAAGCTATGAATACTTATTGCGAATGTCAAAACACATTAGAGATAAATACTTTGTAAATAAGAAAAGACATAAATAAGTAAAGAGAGAGTGAAGGAGAGACCTTGTGCTGCTGAGGCACATGATGATTGAATTTACAGATTAAACTGAATCAGATTCGAACGAAGAAGGATCCGATCGCGACCCTTCCTCACCGGCGCGACCGTACCGCTCCATTTAAAAGTCTGCAGAGAAAGGGACAGAGACACGGAAAAAAGAGATCTTTTTGTTGTGATTTTGTCGGAATGTCGAAAGCTCGTGGTTTTGTCGGAAAATCTGAAAAGACGCAAGATCATGGTTTTGCTTCCACACCACTCTCACTCGCTTGATCTCTCTCAACGTTCAGATCATGAGATTGGTGATGGCGGTGATGGCGGTGATAATGATAAGGATGGTGATAAGGCGATGATACAGGCTGAAAACCAGCTTGCATAAAGAGAGGATCGGAGGTTCCTCATGGGTGGTTCCGGTACAGCGATGAGGGTTTGTGGGAGTGAGTGTGATGGCTGTGAAATGTACCTGAAATAAAAGGAATGATTTTTATGAGTTTTCTATGGTTTAAACAAGATGAACAGAAGTAAATAAACAAAGTAAAAGGGATAGATAAGGTGGAATTAAGCTGCTGGTCGTGTGACACTCTCAGCCTAATCGGTTGATGGACTTGAAGTGGAGTTGCGGATGAAGCTTTGATTGAATCTCTCAATCGGGTGGGATGATGGATCGATGTGATTGACTCTCTCAACCTGTGTACTGAGCTTGTTTGATTTGCATAAACAAACTAGACTCATGAAATCAATAAGACTACAAAGAATCACACTTTGAATCCTAAAGATCGATATTTTATGCAAAGAACAAACTTTGATAAAAACTGAAGAAACTTTTTATAAACTTAATTGGCTGAAAGGTGATTTCTACAATGGACAAGAGTGAGCTTATATAGGTCGTGGCCTTTGCTCAGAATTACAAAAATAAAGGAAAGAAAATCAAGCATTTAAAAACTAGCCGTTGGAGCCTTTTGTGGGATTTGTGCTCCAAATGAAGAATCTGAGTTTCCTTGAACCTGCTCGGTTTTAATGGATAAGAGAGCTGTCTTGGGACCTTCTTGAATTATTGATAGGTGCTGATCTCGTCCATAAGTTGACAAAAAAAGAGCTGTTGGAGTTTTAATGGCTGAGACTCCAAATAAGGCAAGGTGGGGTAAATGTGGATCCTCCTGATCCTATGTGGGCTGGTGCATGGTAGGAAGTGATGGAACTCCTCTGGCTCGTGGATAAGGTATTCTGTATGGTCTAGAGTATCTCCTTGCTTCCATAGAAAGGTTTGGGTCGGACCAAACTGAATTAGGTTAAGCTTCTCTTCAATTGATGTCGGTTTGGAAATTTGGTGCAAACTGGTCTTCTCCTCTGGTCTGATTGAGATTCTCCTGATCCCATGGGTGCTGGTGCTTCTTAAGATGTTGTGGAGTGTCTCTGAATGATGTAGAAGCTCTTCTGGTCGTCTTTCTTCAGATTGGGTTAAGGCAAAACCCGTATCTTCCAAATAAGGCAATTGTAGGACTGGTTTGGCCGGTTTGAGGAAATTGGTCATATCTCCTGGTTTACTCGTCCTATTCTCTTGGTTTTGGGATCTCTGGAAATCTGACAAACTCCTCTTGATTTCTATGATCGGTTTTGGCTCGGGCCGTTCTTTCTTTGGGTTTGAAACTCCTTCTGAAGTCGAGTGATGCTCGCAGATGAATGGGCTGGAAAACCTCGGTCTTGAAAAATTCATAACTTCTTCTTCCGTGGGTATTTTCTCGAAATTCAAGTTGGGTCTGACTTCTTATTGAGTGTAGAATCCATTAAAATTGGTTTGATGATTTAAACCCTCCTGGTTTAAGAAATATGGCATTTTTAGTGCACATATGTTCTGCTTGGCGCCTTGGTTGGGTGAGTGGGGTGTGGGATGGACCTCCGGTTCAGCCACTGGTTTGATGGCCGCATCATTCCCTCCCCCTTGTGAAGGTTTTGACCTCAAAACTGGATAACCTGATACACCACAATAGAGCAAGTCAGGTTTCATTCTCTTTTGGGAGTTTAGAACCTTACCTTGGTGATACAATTTTGGTTTAGTGATGGATGGTGCATCTGGTGGCTCTTCTTTGAAAATGTGTGAAAGGATCACGCCTCTGCTATGGATATGGCCATTGAATCTCCTCTGAGGTGGATGGTCCTTCAAAGTTTTGGTGGCCATGTTTCTGGTCCTTCTTGGAGTTGATCTTCCTAGCAACAAAAGATCATCTTCAGGGATGTCTTTGAAGCTTACATCTTTGCAGCCTGAAAAATTCTCAACATTCTGGAAAAGCAAGTGGATTATATCTGTGTTTGGACACTGATAAATATAATTTGAAAGTTTCAGACTTACTTTGATAGCTTCCACTAGTTGAAGAATGATTTTCTTCTTTGGACAAGTTTGGTTAGATGGTTGCCTTTCTTGCAAACTCTTACCTTGGCTGGTATGACCATCTTTTTGGCTTATTCCTGGATCAAAAATTTCTGGCAAAGACAAGTGCATTACATCTGGATAATCAAGTAATAAGGACGTTTTTAAATTAGAAACACTTCCCTTGCTAAGGCTGGCTTTTAATTGTGTTGGTTCAGCCTCTCTTTGGACTGGTTTCTGCTCAACATCTACCAACATCATGGCTGGTGCCTCATTATTTTGGGCAGTGTACTCCACCATGGTTCCTGAAAATATTTCACATTCTCTTGGACAAGAAAAGTGCATTAATCTTGGCATAGAATAAATAATAAAATTCTGATCTATTGTGAAACAAACTTTAAAACTTGGTATTTGAACAACACATTGTTCAGTTTTGGGCTTCCACTTATTAGGTGGTTCATGACTGAGCTCATGGTCAGGCTCGGCCCTGGGCACTTCAGTCAGCATAGGGCTTTCATTCTTACTCTCTATATCCAGAACACACACTTCAGAACCAGCATATAAAGGTGGTGTTAAACACTTACCTTGACTTGATACATTAGTTACTGGTTTTGCTTCTTTAAACAACATGGACTGCAATGTATCTTGAAACAGCTTCTGGTCCATCACATGGGTGATGTCTTGTGGTTCTTCTCCAGTGAATTCTTGCTCCTTAATTCCTGTTACAACACCTCTTGACAAAGACAAGTGCATCATACAAGAATTTTGAACAAATAAATCAGATTGAATAAAACTATTACATTTCCTAGATAAATCTGTTTTCTCTCCTAGTGATATTTCTATCAATGATTTCTTAGTGGGGAAAGCTACAGCAAAGTGTCCTCTTTTATGACATCTATAACATGTCTGATCTTTCAGAATTTTAGAATTAAAAAAGTTACCTTGGCTTGATGCCTCTTCTTTCTTTGAGTATGGAATCTCATTATTCCTTGGAATTAAATCATGGACAACTTTGGATTCCAACATGGATGTTGGGAACGTGTCCTTCTGGAGCTGAGGACCTGTCTTAAAACTCTTGGACAAAGAAAAGTGATTCAAACCAGTGGGAGATGATTTATAAACCAAAAGATCAAGTATAGGACTTACCATAGCCTTTACTTGGACAATACCTTGTTCTGGTTTTTCTTTGGATCTGATCAAGGTGTTTTGGCTAACATCTTTCTTCTTTTCCATGGCCTCTGGGACCTTATAAGGCTGGTAATGATCATGAAAAACTTTGGCCCTCTGGTTTGGCCGGATCTGGTCTTGATGGATCAAGCTTCTATGGCCTTCTTGTGGCACATCTCTCTTTGCCTCTTTAGAAACATGAGTTGGATACCTCCTTGGATACAGCTCCTTGGATACAGCTCCTGGATTTTAGAGCTTGTATAATCTGGTGCAAACTCAGCTCTCATGACTTCTTTAAGGGCTCTCCACGTTTTGATAGTTGGCTCCTTGTAAAACCATCTATCATCTTCTTCTTGTACCCACCATTTAAAGGCTTCTTCTCTAAGTTGATCAATAGCATAAGCTAGCCTCTCTTTCTTCAGGATGTTGTTGAAGTGAAACCACTCATCAAGGTTCCTCTCCCATCTCAGATATCCTCTTTTTCCTGAAAATGTAAAGAGTTTAACTTTATCAGCAACAAAACTAGAATCAAACCGAGAATTATGAACAATATGGCTGTGGGTTTTAGAAGTTGATTTCTGGTGGATCCTTGAAGGATCTGGTGGCTTGGGTTCAACATAAACAGCCTCTGGTACATCTCCAAATCTTCTTTCTTCATGCTGTTGTCGTTGGACTTGTGCCTTAGTTCCTTTTCCCAACTGAGCAATCTTATCATTAAGCTCTTGTATAGCTTCTAAGTGTTGGCTCAGTCTGATCTTCATGGTTTGGCCGTGTTCTTCCTCTGTCATTTCTTCCTGAAAACAATCTCAAAGAGCAAGTGAAGATATGGGAAGTTCTGGTCGAACCAAAATAAGTAACCAAATGCAAACTAATTAAAACTAAACCGAAAAATATGTCAACTGAACCGAAATGAAATAAATTAAACTAAAATGAATTTTCTTTTGGTTTTCTGGATGCAAACTACTAAAGTATGAAACAATATGATATGCACGAAATTAAAATGATATGGTATGCTTTTTTATTTTGTTTTAAATGCAAGATTCAAAAGATACAAAATATGAATGCAGATTTTTTTTTTGAAATGAATGCTCAAAAAAAATTATGGAAAGTGGAGCTGGGGGAATGAATGCAAACAACTAATGAGTTTTCTTTTTTAAATTTTCATGAATCAAATGCAAGAAACTTCTTCTCTTTTGTTTATGAATGTAACAAGAACAAAAATGCAGAAACTGTTTTTTTTTTTTTTTGATTTTTAAAAACAAAACAAATGCAAACAAATATGATGCAAGGATAGAATGAATCTGATTCAGGAGCCTTAGGCTCTGATACCAAATGATACAGGCTGGAAACCAGCTTGCACAAAGAGAGGATCGGAGGTTCCTCATGGGTGGTTCCGGTACAGCGATGAGGGCTTGTGGGAGTAAGTGTGATGGCTGTGAAATGTACCTGAAATAAAAGGAATGATTTTTATGAGTTTTCTATGGTTTAAACAAGATGAACAGAAGTAAATAAAAAAATTAAAAGGGATAGATAAGGTGGAATTAAGCTGCTGGTCGTGTGACACTCTCAGCCTAATCGGTTGATGGACTTGAAGTGGAGTTGCGGATGAAGCTTTGATTGAATCTCTCAATCGGGTGGGATGATGGATCGATGTGATTGACTCTCTCAACCTGTGTACTGAGCTTGTTTGATTTGCACAAACAAACTAGACTCACGAAATCAATACGACTACAAAGAATCACACTTTGAATCCTAAAGATCGATATTTTATGCAAAGAACAAACTTTGATAAAAACTGAAGAAACTTCTTATAAACTTAATTGGCTGAAAGGTGATTTCTACAATGGAAAAGAGTGAGCTTATATAGTTCGTGTCCTTTGCTCAGAATTACAAAAATAAAGGAAAGAAAATCAAGCATTTAAAAACTAGCCGTTGGAGCCTTTTGTGGGATTTGTACTCCAAGTGAAGAATCTGAGTTTCCTTGAACCTGCTCGGTTTTAATGGATAAGAGATCTGTCTTGGGACCTTCTTGAATGCTTGATAGGTGCGGATCTCGTCCATAAGTTGACAAAAAAAGTGCTGTTGGAGTTTTAATGGCTGAGACTCCAAATAAGGCAAGGTGGGGTAAATGTGGATCCTCCTGATCCTATGTGGGCTGGTGCATGGTAGGAAGTGATGGAACTCCTCTGGCTCGTGGATAAGGTCTTCTGTATGGTCTAGAGTATCTCCTGGCTTCCATAGAAAGGTTTGGGTCGGACCAAACTGAATTAGGTTAAGCTTCTCTTCAATTGATGTCGGTTTGGCAATTTGGTGCAAACCGGTCTTCTCCTCTGGTCTGATTGAGATCCTTCTGATCCCATGGGTTCTGGTGCTTCTTAAGATGTTGTGGAGTGTCTCTGAATGATGTAGAAGCTCTTCTGGTCGTCTTTCTTCAGATTGGGTTAAGGCAAAATTCGGATCTTCCAAATAAGGCAAGTGTAGGACTGGTTTGACCGGTTTGGGGAATATGATCCTGGTTTACTCGTCCTATTCTCTTGGTTTTGGGCTCTCTGGAAAGCTGACAAACTCCTCTTGATTTCTATGATCGGTTTTGGCTCGGGCCTTTCCTTCTTTGGGCTTGAAACTCCTTTTGAAGTCGAGTGATGCTCGTAGATGAATGGGTTGGAAAACCTCTGTTTTGAAAAATTCATAACTTCTTCTTCCGTGGATCTTTTCTCGAAATTCAAGTTGGGCCTGACTTCTTCTTGAGTGTAGAATCCATTAAAATTGGTTTCATGATTTAAACCCTCTTGATTTAAGAAATATGGCATTTTTAGTACACATATGTTCTGCTTGGCGCCTTGGTTGGGTGAGTAGGGTGTAGGATGGACCTCCGGTTCAGCCACTGGTTTGATGGCCGCATCAGGCGAGTAAGGAGGCGACGCATATGGTGAGGCATCACCATATGCGAAGGGTATCTCATCCCCATCCAGTGAGATGGTGGCAGCGGTGTGGGGATGTTGTTATTCGGTTGTTATCTTCAACGGGGGATTGGACCTTCTTGTCAGCCATTAGTGATAGAGAGCTTTCCTGTGTGATTAGAACTTTTAATATAGTATAGATATGTATAAAATAATTTATATATGGTTCCATTACTTATTTGATAACGAAAAAGATCATACAAATACTTTTATTTATGTTTCGTATTTTTTATAATCTTAATATTTATATTATTTTTTCCTATTAATAAATGGATAAAACATCTATACTATAATAGTTCAGCTGATACTCACAAGGGTTTGACACCTCAACGCCCATTTTATTGACACTGAGCCATTACCTCCATTTCATTCGTTAATATTTATACATTGTGTCATAGTAGTTGAGTGGGTCTCTGTTAAAGTATTAATCATACTCACCAGATTCATGTCTTATGTAAGGTGATCTACGAAGATAATGTTGATGCCATAGTATCAATGGACATACATATGTTTTGGATCCCACTTATGAATCTTATTCCTCCGAAATGTACTGGTCTGATGAAAAACATGTGCCGTTCAATCAAGTGGTATGAAGTTTTGTTGTGGTGCAGAAAATTAATCTGTTGACGCTGGTTGTTGTAGTAAATGTAGTCATCTCGAGTATAAGCTTCTTACTTTAGCATTGTTTTCCATGTTTCTTCTTGTTGGAAACTATTGATTAGCCATGGCGATCAGCCTCACGTTTTTATGGTCCTTATGTGTTCTGATTTTTCCTCAGCGTATCTTTGTAGTTGCAAGTTGGTGTGTTCTCATAGAAGTATTTTAGATTGGAAAGATACAACAGAAATTGGGGCAGATAGCTAAGAAATAATTATCTAATAAAAAAAAGTATAATCATTATTATTACCATATAGAGATAATTAGTGTAATACCCATTACCGAAGTCCAAATTAGTCGCTTTTCTATTGAGTGACGTCTCCAGCCAAGAAATACAATTAGGCATGGAAATGCCAAAAAACCCATCCTTGTTTGAGTAGACGTGCGGTGCTTGTGTCAGCCGGCTGACACAAAATATCTTCACGCCGAATCATAGGTTACTATTCCTAAATATGACAGCTACGAGGTTTCTCCTCCACTTGTTAACTCCGTTACTCGTGCTATTTTTATGCTCTACCATCGATACAAACTTGAGAATGATGATTGTATGAGATACCAATATAATTTGAAGATAAATTACCTTATAGAGTCCAAAACCTTTTGTTAACAAGAAGTGAGAAGTTTGTAGGAGATAAAGAGAGAGAACGAAAGCTGTGATTCAGGGTTAGAAGAACAAAAGACTGGAGACACAGAAATCGTTATCACTCGGGGTAGAAGATAAAATAAACGATCCTTGACAACATTGTATCCTTGGATATATACTTCTCAAGATGTTTCTTAACGGGTGAACGTGTCATTAACAGGTACAGATTTGAAGATGAGTCATCTTGTTCGACTTGTTATGGTAGACTGGGAAAGAGGCGCTCAAAGTGCATGGAAGTTTAACGTCGACAATACAATGGTGAAACACGAGGTGTTGCTGAAAGAAAACGAGAGCTATGTTTCCCTCATGGGGATGGTGAGAGAGAAATACAAGCTACAAGAGGTTCTGCGTCCAACTGAGCCGGTGCTACTGACGTATGATTTTCCAGATATCTCTAGAGAGCTAGGCAAATACTCACCCCCACCTGTTGAAATAAAAGAGGCTGGGGATGTGGAGTTGTTCATGGCCGTAAGAGTTGATCATTTCTGGCTAGATATGTATGTCACATTCGGAGAAGAAGATGTGGACCACTACAGGATACAGAGGGACGAGGAAGATGGGGTGAATGCCTCGCAACAGCCACTTTGGTGAGGGACTTGTTTGCCTTGAAGGTATAACTCTTCTTGCACTGGTTAAATTTATTTTTAATGGATACAAAAACTGTAGAAGTTAAGCTAAAATGTTTAGGGGCACACAGATCTTAGAGCGAGCGGTTATATGGTGGTGTACAAGGAGATACTAAGATGCATATGCACTCCCAGTGAGCTTGTCATACTCGAGAAAACTTCCTTGGGGTTTGAAGGGTATCAAGAACCTCTAACCGAAACAATGCATATCAACATCGAGTCATCTGAGGACTCTTCTGAGCTACCCCTAACTCAGGCTTGTGAAGTATTAGCTGGAGGGGGTACAAGGGTGACAGAGGGCCGTAGCTTAGGAGGCCAAGCCACAAAACTAGTTGTTGGGTTAAATAAGTTGAGCAAGGTGTTTTACAACATAACAGTAAAAGGAAAATATTTGTAAAAACAATTTCGTGTTTGATCGTTGCAGCAACAGCGGGAACGGCTCAAGGGGAGGTAATGCGTGACAAGAGGAAAGGTATAATGGTTGAGGATGAGACTGGTGGAAAGCGTACCAGAATGAGTGGACTTGCTTGTAATTTACTTGGGAGGGAATATGCTGTGGAGGAAACCGGGATGAGAAAGGGTATGTGTAAGTAAATGCAAGCCAAACAGAGTAGGTTATGTTTGTGTTCTCGTTGCAACTTTGTACTCTAATTATAATGTTAACCGCTAAAAATGTATGTGGTAGGTACTGGTTCGGCGACACAGTTATCGTTGACCTTAGGTGCTAATAATGTGATTAACGGAGATGGCGAGAGTATGAATTGGATTAGGAACCTTTCAGCTGAGTTTACCGAAGATTCGGCCAATAAGGAAAAAGGCTTGGCCAAAGAAGGCGGTGTCTACACAGTAGCAAGAGAGGGTGGCATTGAAGGTATTTGTAAAACAATCAAATTTTGTTTTTAAAAAATTTAGCTGATCCTAAAATTCAATTTGCCTAACATAATATGGAATTTTTTTATCCATATAAGGAGAAGAGATGGAGCCACTGGGACATCTCTATGTCGGCAAAGTCTTTGAGAGCAGAGAGTCCTTCAAGATCCACATGACACTGTATGCAATCACAGACAAGTTCCGATTCCTGACCAGAAAATCA